CCAGTGGGGGCTGGCCCCTGTGAACTCCAGAGCTGCCGGCTTTCCGTTTGCTCTGTGGGTCCTGGAAAGCGACTGCGCAGAGGTTTCCGTGTGACACGGCTGTGTCCCCGGCCGTCCTCTGCAGTCTGCTGCCCCCATCCTGGAGCTGTTCTCCCCGTCCCCAGCTCACCCTGAGCCTCGCCTGGCCACGGTGGCCAGCCTCACCCTGTGCAGCCCCAAAAGGTGCCTCTGGCTGAAGCCTGGCACCTCTCGTCGCCTCACCTGTCCCCCTTCTCTTGGATCAATCTCCTGGTGGGCTCTCTAGCATCCTGGGAGGAGTCCCTTCCTCATGCGTGTTCACACGGGGAGGCCAGTCCCGGATGGCGCTCGCTGCTCCCTGCCCCCCAAGTGGACCCTGTCCCAGCTCTGCAGCTGGCAGGGCAGGTGGGCTCTGTCCTTCCCTCCGGCCTCTTCCCTCAGCACCACAGGGCAGGACTGCTTCACGGGTCTCTCTTGCCACACAGGTACGAGGACGGCCACAGAGTGCACCGAGACGTCCGCGTCAAAGAGCTGTGAGGGCACCAGCACCGGGATGACCGCCAACAGGTGCCAGGGCAGGGGGGGGACCTGTGCCTCTCGGACAGGGTGAGGCCACGGGTCTGAGCATGGAAGGGGACAGGAGATGGAGGTCGGGGTGAGGCTGGGGGACTAAGCACGGAGGTGCTGGGCCAGCAGGCTGAGCCGGGTACCAGCTGCCTGGGGTGCCAGCCAGCAAGGAACACAGAGTCCATGCAATGTTAGGGGCCACCAGGTGGGCAGTGCAAGGTCACACAGTGGGCCTCACGGGTGTGGGCGTCACTCTGCTCTGCCTCTCAGGGAAGAGGGAGACCCAGTGACAGAGGCCGCTGCACTCCTGCATGTCCAGCCTGGCCCAGAGCTGGCCTCACAGGGGGCCTGAGCGCATCACAGCGTCCCAGCGTGTGGCAGCTCACCCTCTGCCCTGGGGTGCAGGGAGCGTGGCTGGGGGCACAGAATGATGCCAGCACTGTGGGGGCAGCCGTGGGGGGAAGGGGGTGCACAGGGGCTTCTGCTCCACCAACTGTCGAATCAGTTTCTCGATTACTCTAGGAGACAGTAATCTGCAGCCCCTGAGAAGACCACCAGGTACTGCCCCCCCAGCCCGCCTTTTCACTGCCACATACCTCACGCCCCCACCCCCACGTCCAGGGGGAGAGGAAGCTCTGGGGTGGGCATGGGTCCCACTCTCAGGGGAGCATGGGACCCCTCGCCCAGTCAGCAGCCAGGAGGGGGGTACCTGGAGGGCGCGGGGCTGGGGCCAGGACCCCCTCGGGACTAAGAAACGCCCAGGTCCTGTGAAGCACCAGCAATGAAGATGAGAAACAGATGGGGAGCCAGAGCCCACAAAGACCCACCAGGAGAGTCCCGTGGCGACACACAACGCTGAAATGCAGGAAGCTCTCTTAACTGCCCACGTCCAACCCCAGCACCCCAAGACTGGAGGCTGTCCTCATGGACGCATGGGGCTAACCCAGGGCCCGTCCACAGCCCCTTTCACTCCACGCTGAGGGCAGCTCTCCTCTCCAGAACAGCCAGACCACATGTGCGGTCACTCTGAGCTGCACCCCCAACCTGCCTGGCTCAGGGGCTCAGGCACTCCAAGCTGGGCGCCTCATCACATGCCCTCTCAGTGCCCAGCTCACAGGCACTTCCCACCTTACACGCCAAAGCCTGCAAGAGCTTCACTGCCAGCTAAGAGTCCACAAGGACAACCTGACCTGGAAATATTGGTGTTGGAATGTCACCAGAAAGAGAATCTACCTTTTAGGAACCCACTTGGAAAATACAGTTCTGAGAGACCTGGCACTCCGAGGAAGAAGCTTCCTACGGTGACCAAGCACACCCAAGAACACAAGGCCAGCTCTGGTGGCAGCCCTGGCGCCACCACTGCACAGATGAGGGAACTGTGTGTGCAGGCCCCTGAGGGGCACCGCTCCTCCTGGCCCCATCTCCTGTTTTCTTCAAAGGAACTGGAAGGTTCTCCCTATACCCAGACCCTCACGATGAGGTCTGACACTGGACTGAAAATGGACCAAGGCCAAGTCCTCAAGGACGACCCCCAGTCAGGCCCTCCAGCTCGAGAGCAGTCTACCAGGCCGGCATGCCGGCTCTGTCCCTGCTGGCCTTTCCATGGGGCCGCTGTGGTCAGGGGTTGGGGGGGTGGGGCTGGCCAGAGTGAGCAGAGCAGTAGCTCACTAGCCAGCTTCCAGGCTGCAGAGCCAGAGGGACAGTCCACAGGGCAGAGAAGGTGCTGGGGAGAAAGGCCACCACCAGGGAGGCCACACTCAACAGGCTGGAGACCGAGGACTGCGGAGAGCTCACAGACTCAGAACTCAGGCTTTCGTGGAGAAAGCCACTCACCCTCTAGACCACAAGTAACACCTCCCAGCGAACAACAGGAGCCTATCTTCCCGAATGCCAGTGCTACGGAGAGAGGGCTGTGTGGCCTGGCCACAGCATGTGTGGCTCCGGAAGCCCCCCGAGGAATGTGCAGTGTCCCCCACAGCTCCGGAGGAACGTGCAGTGTCTCCCGCAGTTGTTGGGTTACATGCCCCAGCCTCCTCATGGCCTCTTCCCAGCAGACTTCTCTGGAGAGGACGAAGCCAGTCCGCGTCAAGCTGCGGATCTGAACCCAGACAGGAACGCAAGCTGCTACCACCCAAGCCAGCAGGGCTCCTGCCTTCCCTCTCACAAGACCGTTTGGGGAAGACTTAAAATAGCTTCTAGGTTTCTATTTTTATGAGGCTTTTCTGTGCATACATCTGTGTATTATGCAAGCTGTTACTTCAGAGACTATCCTATCACTTCGAGAAGTTTCCACGGGCTCCATTTCCCAGGCCGAGACCCCCAGCAGGGGCTCTGAGTGGACAGACAGACACAGGGACGAGCAGGCTCTGCAGCGCAGGCCTCCCTGTGCGAAGGGGTGAGCTACAGCAGCACCAGCAGTGGTACTGCGGAAGCAGCTGACGCGTCTACAGTATCTCAGTGACCTCCAACCCCGTAGCCTCCGAGCAGAGGCTCACGTTCAGGGTTCACCTTACGTCTCTATTGCTCTAAGACAGTCTTCTGACTCTTAGAACTCGTGCTACTGTCTTCCCAGCAACGCTCCCCATCCAGTTAGAAGACTCCTGTCCCGCGGATGACAACCCTCGGTTTCCAAATGGGCCACTTTCCACATAGGTGCTTCTGAAATCTCCAGTGTCTCCCTGAGAATATTCAAAAACTTAGCGACAATGAAAGCAAAACAAAAGATGCGGTCAGGGGCACAAAAGCCACTTCCTACGTCAAAATGAACAGAGTAATCATGAGTCGTGATTAGCTGCTTCCCAATCACGACTTGAACTACCAGCCGTCAAGCCAAACCATGAGTCTCAGTCCCTTGACTAGGCACAAGAACATCACTGGCTCCAGGGAAAGCACCAGGTGACACAACGACACTAACAGCAAGCGACAATATGAATGACGGCCCTTGCCTAGAGGAACTCTGTTTTCCAAGACTTCTGCCCAGGCCCACAGGAGAGAGTGGAGGAAACAGGTCTTCTCCCGACTCAAGAGGGTTGTTATGGACACAAATGAGGGCCCCACACCACACAGCCTCGGCCCTCAACCGTGACCAGCAAACTTCTGCCTTGACGGACAGCCGAGGGATGCACGGAGCCACTGTACGCCCTTCACATCGTACCTGCCATGAGCAGGGCAAGGAAGAAGCACGTGCCCACACAGGCCCAGATCTGCCCTGCCCTCCCCGCAGCCCACAGCAGGCAGGATAGGGGCGAAGTCAGCCACTCACACCCGCTTGGAAGACATGTCCAAACATAGCCTCCTGCTGCCTGTCAGGCAACCTGTGCAGACACTGCTGACCTCTGGTGTCTGACTGCCCTGTGCACACTAGGGTCACAACGCCTTGAGCCTCATCCCTGAGGCGCTACTGGCACTTTCCTTGTCCTGGCAATCCAAACCCAGTAAGCAGCACCCCAAGGGGGGCCCAGGGGACAAGAGACCTCCTGACTGCTGCTGGGAACACGACAAAGCTCAGCTCGAATCTCAGTCCCATCTGTGGCTCCTGCGACGGCCCAGAGGTGGGTTCCAAGCTGGAGCGATAGTACAGCAGGTAGGGCGTTTGCCTTGCATGCAGCCAACCCGGGTTCGATACCCAGCATCCCATATGGTCCCCCAAGCACCACCAGGAATAATTCCTGAGTGCAGAGCCAGGAAGAACCCCTGTGCATTGCCGGGTGTGACCCAAAAAGCAAAAACAAAACAAAACAAAACAGAGGTGGGTTATACAGAATGCTGCAGGGCACCGCCTGGCATGAGGTAGCCTGGCTCCCCTCACACTCCACTCCCAGACTCCATACCTCAACAGAGCTCCCCAAGAGACGTCCCACCTGGCCCATGCTCCCTGCAATACACCAGGACTGACCTGTGGCCAGGCGCTAGGCTGCCCCACCACCCACACCTGTGTCCCTCCTCTGGGAGGCCTGGCTTGACACGCACAGCGGGCAGACTGCCCGTGCCATGCTCTGAACTCAGTTCTACCGGGCATCAGGCTTGCATGTCAGTGGAACCTGGAAGGCAGAGCTCATTCTTCACAGGGATACGGTACTTCCCGACATAACAGCACACCCTGCTCTGGCAGGGATACCGCGCACCCTTTCAAAAGCCTTCTGGGAACAGCTCAGCAGGCGAGGGCACATGCGAAGTGTATGGTGGTGCAGGGGGTGGGGTTGGAGCTCTGGCACCCTCTGGGCAACCCCTAAGCACCAAGCCAGGAGGAGCAGGTGTGGCCCAAAAACAGAACCAAAATTCAAAAACTTCACATAATGGCTAAATCCCACTTTTTTTGCAAAAAATAATTTGGCATAAGATCTGCAAGAACCATGCAGCGAAATTCAGTACAAAAACCTGCCTGACGCTTGCTGTGGCCGTGCACCGACTACTCCTTCAACTCTGCTGTACACTGACTCAATTAGGAAGAGTTATAATTGAGTTGAAAACAACTATTTTTGTGGAGAATCTCGTTACTTGCTTCCATAAAATAAAGATCTCTGTTGTTAAGTCCTCACTGCCTTTTGATTTGATCTTCATCACAAGAAGGAAATGGTGCTGAAACACCACACGGTCATGGGGTTTTAACTGGAAGGTCAGAGAAAAAGCAAAACTCAACTGTCCTAGGTTGAGTCCTCCGATTGTAACAGCTCTAAATCAGTCTTTTATTGAATGGAACAAGCCACACAGACCTGACAACTCAACAGACTAAAGCGTCTCTGACTTCAGTTCACCCAACCACTTCTGACATCTGTAATCATCTGTTGATGAAAACGCCTGTTCAGAATGAAAAATAACCTGAGGCGATCCAAAAGTTCCCCCAAACTGAGAGAAAATTAAAATATTCTTTGACAGCTCCAGGCTCTCTTTATTCCAGGCCTTCCATCACTGTCCCTCCTCCATTTCCTCCTCATCCTCATCCAAACTGTCACTTCTGTCCTTGGGCATCCGGCCCTCAGGCTCCTCCTCTTCCCGAGCCAAGAGCTTCTTAAAAACATCAAACTCCTCAGCTGAAGAACAGGCTGTCCTGGCGAGAAATTCTTCTTCTGAAACTCTGAGAATGTTCTTTATTAAAGGGTTGGGGATCTGTGTCTGCCCCTTCTTGTCGGGGGTTTGGTACCGTCCCAGGCGTTCAAGGAACGTGTGTCTCTGCTTAATCTTGGTTATGGAGTACTGCAGGAAGCCAGATGTCACGATGTCCGCGTGAGCCACCCCCATCCTAAAATAGGCATACTGGAGACATGGACAGGGTTAGAGACCACAAGCGCACTCCTTGGCTGTCCCGTTCCCCGAGTCCATGCTCAACTCTAACTGTCCCAGCCTTCAGGACACACCCTGGCATCCAACATCTGTGTGGTGGGTGGTTCACAGCTGTCAAAGCTTTCCCTTTCCATTTTTTTAGCTTGGTTTTGGGGTCACTCTGCGTGGGGATCATATGTGGTGCCAAGGGGCTAAACCCATTTTGGCTTGCGCAAACCCCTGTACTATCCCTCCAGCCCTATCAAAGCATTTTAAACATCACGTTGAGAAAAATGCAACAGAAAATAAAAGAACAGAAGAGGGAAATGAACTGCTTTTCTTCAGACCAGGAAAAGACAAGTATGGAAAGAATAAGTAAAAATTTCAGAAAACAACTAGAGATTTGATATGTCATCATATTTTACCCAAAATGAAAACTTTAACCCAAAATGAAAACTGTCACAATTACATTCCTAAAATCAATATGCAACATGTTGTGAAAATAGGAAGGTTCTAGTTCTTCCTAAATCAATTATTCCAAAGGGGCCCCATCCCATGTAAGAAAGGAACTGGCTCATTCCTTTTTTTCTGTACCAGAGCTCAAACCCAGGGTCTTGTACATGTAAGGTGCGTGCTCTACCACGGAGCTACTTTCCTGGCACAGGCTCAGTCTTATCAATGCTAGAAAACTTGCAGAATACTTTATCTGCCATAAAGTAGTGAAAGAAACCAAACCTCTTTAGCTGCAATGAGCAGAGGAATTCAGATATTGGCTCTGTACAACTGGCCCATGCGCTGGTGCTCATCTACGGGTGTAAGGTCGAAAAATCACTGATATAAACTACTTCAGGCTTCCACCTAACCTCAGGAACCCCAGGCTTTCTCATCCACATAGCTGACTCTCATTTTTTTTGTTCATTTCCTTATTTATCTGGGGTCTCTCGAGCAATGCTCAGGGGTGTGGGGACCACTCCTAGTGATACCAAGTCTAGCTTGAGGGCCTGATCAGTGCTTGGTCCAGCAATAAGCGGCGACTCAGGCCCAGCGGTGCTGGAGAGGCCACTATGGTCAAAACAGTGATGCTGCAGACCACCTAGGCAGGGCTCGGGGGCATGCAGTGTCAGGGATCACCCACTAGCAAAGCATAAGCTCCAACTAACTCCCGAACCCGGACCCTCCCATCTCACCTGGAACTTGTACTCCAGCTCGTCAGGATCCATCCGAAGCACGTAGGGGCACCTGTACAAGATCTCTGTCACTTGCTGTACAGTGAAAAGACACTTATCCCTGAGAACCTCAAGGATAGCCTCAAGGTCGCGCTGATGCATGGTGAGAATGTCGGGGCAGCAGAGAAGCACCCTCTTCATTTTCCCTGCAGAACATTGAGAAAAGGACTTGGATAATTTCAGGCTGGTGCAGAGACCCCAGAGACTATCTGCAGCCAGACCCTGTCAGCATTTGAAAAGTGGACAAGGACCTGTCTTCCCCAGAACAAGTGTGAACAAATGTGTCTCTCAAATCCAACCACCGCACACGCACACCCAAGCAACACGGAAACGAATGACAGCTCCTCACAGAATCCCCCAAAGCCCCCTCAGACCCACCCAGCCCACCCTCCTGGGTATTTCTATCTTTCTGCCCTCCCAGCTGAAAGGCTCCAACTCTGCATCCTACATCTCCCCCGACCTTCTCACCTAGAAGAGTCTCAGCAGAGCCACCTGGAAAGGTGAGACAGTAAGATGGGAGAACTACTTCCCCCATGCTGGGGCTTGGCTAGACAGTTTCTTGACAAGCAACCATCCCAGGACCCGGGTGCATGAACTCAATGTGCACGGGTGCCCCATGATTAATGCAGCAGCAACTACAAGAACCATGACACACAGCAGTAATGCTAGTTATGTGTTAGTTTTGTTACTGAAGTGATGATATACTTATCCAAACAAGGGCATTTTCTAGTCTGTTTGGGACACAAGGATCACTCCCTGAGGCACCGGGCCAAGCAGCCTGGCCAGACCATGCTAGGCCTAATAGTATTGGGCTATGAGAGCCCTGCAGTGCCAGCGACTTCCAGGGCCACTCTGGTGAGGCTCAGAACATCATGTGGTGCCAGAAAGGAAACCCAGGTTAGGCACAGGCAAAGCATGCACCCTAACCTCTAGGATTCCCCCAGCCTCTGCACCAAGGTGCTCGTGGGAAAAGAGGCACTGGGATAGGCAAGCAGAGAGCAAGCAGAAACAGAACCACCCCACACGAACCGGGGCCGGTCCTCTTCCTACAGCTAGTTGGACAGAGTTTGCTAAGAGGAAACAAAATCACTTCAACTTTAAAAATCTTCCTAATACGCAGATAGAGAAGGGAGCACCAAATAAAGGGTGTTGGGAGGGTCCTCCCAGGATGGGAGACGCATGCTGAACGTAGACTATAGACCGAACATGACTGCCACTCGATGCCTCTTTTGCGAACCGCAGCACCCAAAAGGAGAGAGAGAACAAAAGGGAATGCCTGCCACAGAGGCAGGGTGGGAGGGATACTGGGATCACTGGTGATGGAGAATGGGCACTGGTGGAGGGATGGGCACCCGATCATTGTATAACTGAGACCCAAGCACAAAAATCTGTAAGTCTACAACTGTCCCTCTACTGGTGTTTCACTAATAAAAATAAATAAAAATCTTCCTAATAGCTTAGTCAGGAACTTGATTAAAATGTCAAGAATGAATTCTTTCTCTTGAGCAATGCTGGGGATTTAGCCCACGTATGCAAGGCACCAATTTAACCACTGAGTCCCCGACCCCTAGTGAATCCTCCCGAGGCCCTCATGGGCCCAGTGTTTTATAGCCACAGCCCAGAACGCATTAAGCCCAGCCTTTTGGATCACACAGCAACAGGTCATATTATGAAAAACTTACGACTGTTTTTGTACCTTCAGGCCCCTGGAGTTCATTTAAAGTAGCTGACCCCAAACCCTTTCCCGCCCAGTATCATGCCAGTAAGAGCCAAGAACAAAGGGTGGGACCCCTCTGGGCCTAGTGGGAAAGGGGCTGTGGAGACTGTCGGGGGCCCCACTCCCAATCCAGGAGGCCCCCGAAGAGTCCGTGAATATTCGAACCCTGGGGTATGAATCCTGGATCCCGGAATCTGGGCAGATGCTGGTGTTCCACAGTTCAATGGAAACACGGGGCTGGAGTTCAGATCCTTACAAGGGAATGCGAGGTTCCAGCTACGAGTCACACAACGCACTCAAGAAAATCTCGAGCGACGAAAATCGCAGAGCATCACTCAGGCCGGCCTCACAGGTCGGCCTCTACGGGCTGAGCCGCACCCGCGCCCACCGTCAGTCGGGGGGCCTCCAAGGCTTGCTTCCCCCCAGAAGCCTCCCCGCCCCTCCCGAGGCCCCCTTCCCCGCGCCTTCTGGTACCTTCTCCGAGCCCCAGCTTGCGCAGCTGAGCGCAGCGCTTCCTCATCCGCGCCGCGGGCAGCCTCAGGAGCGGGGGATGCGCCGTCAGGGCCGCGCGCACGGGCTCGGGGTTCACGCCCAGGAGCGCCAGCTCGGAAACGACGTCCAGCAGCGGCTGGGGGTGGCCGCCCGGCCGGAGGAGGCCCAGCAGCTCCGCGGCCTGGTCCCCACGGAAGCCCATGTCCAGCAGGGCCCGCGTGGCCCTTTCCAGCTCCGGGGCCCCGGGAGCCCCCCGCTTCTCGAGGCGCGGCGGGCTGGAGCGCGTGGCGCCCTGGGGCTCGACGCGCGGAGACGCCGGGCTGGCTCCGGCTCCGGCGGGGGCCGAGGCGAGCGCGCGAGGGGACGCGGCGGGGGTCCTGCTCCGGGCCCCCAGAGCGCAGGCCCGGGGCAGCGCGACCAGGCGGGGCCAGCGGGACACCTGCGAGACGCGAGGCAGAAGGAACCGAGTCTCAGGACCCGCGCGACGGACACCGACCCAGCACGCACGCCGGGCCCTGGCCGCTCGTGCGACGGTGCTCACGGCTGGCTGGCCCAGAGCCTGTCAGGGTTCGCAGCCCGGGCCTGGGGGGGGCGGGGAGGGTCACACTGCAGCGCCGCGGGCGGGGCGAGCGCTCCGGCCTCGGGCCGCGGCAGCCCCGTCGCCGTCGCCGTCAGCGGCCCACGGGGCCCGGGCAAGGCGGCGCGCCCGGGCGGCGAGGGGGTCCGCGGCCTCCCCGGGACACGCGGCCCGCCGCGCCCTGACGCCCTGGGCCGGCCGGGCCGCGCCGAGCAGCCGCGAGAGGCGGCGCGCCTCACCTGCCGCGCCAGCGCCGCCATCGCGCCGGAAGCCGGCCCGCCACTTCCGCCGCCGCCACTTCCGCCGCCGGCGCGTTCCGCGGGCCCCAGCTCGCTCTCGGCGTCTCGCTCGGTCTGCGGGTCTCTCCGTCGGCGCCGGCGCCTCGGCTGCGGTCGGCCGGCCTCTCTCCCGGCGCCTCAGGTCCCGTCGGCCGGCCTCTCCCCCGGCGCCTCAGGTCCCCGTCGGCCGGCCTCTCCCCCGGCGCCTCAGGTCCCCGTCGGCCGGCCTCTCCCCCGGCGCCTCAGGTCCCGTCGGCCGGCCTCTCCCCCGGCGCCTCAGGTCCCCGTCGGCCGGCCTCTCCCTCGGCGCCTCAGGTCCCGTCGGCCGGCCTCTCCCGGGGGGCCGGGCGCGCCGGGAGCGGCCCAGCTGAGGGACACCCGCCCCCTCAACCCCCGCCCTTCAGGGACACCCGAGTGCGACTGGCCATCGCCTGGGCGGGCCGGGAGCGCGGTCAGATGGGCCCGCGTGCAGGTTTCCGGACCCGCAGTCGGGGACGGGGATGCCCGGCGTCTCCGGCCCCTCAGACGGAGCAGCGCGGCCGGGGGTGACCTGCCAGCCCTCCAACGCCCAGCCCCTTCGGGTTGGATGCGGTGTCACATGCTGGGAGGCGACAGTGGAGCGAGGACTTACCGTCGCACGCACCCGGAACGCAGTGCGACCGGTGTGCTAGGGACGTGCGGAAAGATGTTTGGGACTTTACCTGTTGTGGAGGGCACACCCCGCAGTGCTCGGGGATCACTCAAGTCCGAGAGACGATATGCATGTTGCGGGTGGAACCTGGGTCTGCCTCCTGCCAGGCGAGCGCCCGTCCCCCTCGCTCTGGCCTTGGGATATTTTCCTTCATGTTTAAAACTTGAGGGTTTCTTGTCTGGGGAATTCTGTGCGGGGTTTGTCTTGTGGGCCATACCTGTGCTCCAGTCCACCGAGGCAAACCTTTTTTTTTTTGTTGTACAGATTTTTTTTTTAATTTGGAGTGAAAGCATAGTAGGTAGGACATTTGCCTTGTAGGCGTCCAACCCGGCGACCTGAGTTCGACTCCTCTGCCCCTCTTGGAGAGCCCGAGAGTTATCTCACCTGCATGGCAAAAGCCGTATTCAATATGCCACAGTAACAAGTCACACAATGTTACTGGGCCTGTGGGAGGACAGTGCTAGTGCTTGGTTTGGGCCACACCTGACAACCAGGGGTTACTCCTGGCTCTGCACTCAGGAATTCTTTCCAAGCTGGGAATCAAAGCCTGGTCGGCCCCATGCCAGACAAGCACCCTACCCACTTCCAACCCCTCACTGGATAGATTTCTTAAAACATCAGGAAACTCATTTGGTTTGTGAAGTCAAGCTCACTTCTCAGCTCACACCTTTGAAAACATCGTCCTCAGACCCACCTTACGCTCTCCGATGGAGGAGACACCCCTCATATGATCTCTTGCAATCGGCGGAAGATGGGGCAGATTTCCTAATGGATGGGAACACTTTATTTTTATGTCCTAATGGTCAAGCACAAGTTCTGACCTCGCACACCCAGACCAGGTGGACTGAGCCAAAGGCCAGGCCAGGGGCAGGAGCAAAAGCCTGGGCCGGCAGAGAGAGGGCCAGGAGAAGGGCGGGGAGGTCCTGGCTTTGTGGTTTCTTCCTGTTCCCTGGCAGGGGAAAAGGGCACTTCTCACCCCTCATACTCCGCCAGCTCACCCGCAGACAGGTTAGTTCTGATCTGAACTAATTGGCCTCCTGGGGGGAACCAGACCCAGCAGTGTGAACACCTGGGACCTGAGCCTGACAGAAAAAACCTCAGTAAGTCGCCACTTCTGATTCCCCTCCAAGTAGGGGGTCTGTAGTAATGGAGAGGAACCCCTGTCCCTACCAAATTCTTCTTGGCTGGTCCAGCAATTAAATTCACATCCAATTGCTGAGAGGGGAATGAATCCAATGCCATCTATGGAGGGGCTCCATGGACATGGGCTCTAACTCCGGCGGGTGAGGTGAGGGTCACTGACTGGCCTGAGCTGCACCTGAGGAGGAGAGGGGAACCTGCAGCACCCACGGCATGTCCCTGACGAGAGAGGCTTTCCCTGGGAATGATATGTCTGTGAATTGCTAAGTAACGACGCCAGGCAGTGCACAAGAGCATCATGTCCAGTCCTGGACTGTGTGGCTTCAGAGTTCTGAGTGCTGTCCACAGGACCCCTGGTCTGACCAGCGGAACCCCTCTCCAGATGGGGCAAAGGACGCAGCCCCAAGAAAAATACCAAGAAGCCATAGGGAAGAGCTGGCTGAAAAGTCCTTTAATCTGAGATGACTGAGGAAACCTGCCATGGGGTACATGGGGCACCAGCTCGGCCCACCACAGCGCTAAAGTACTGGCACCTGTCTGTGTACAGTCCTGCCACTGCGAGATCATAGGACACCAGACACTTCCAGGAGTCACGACGGTCGGCCCGATGCCGCCAGGTGAGGCACTGGCCTCTGTGTGCCAGGCACCGAGGGCCCATGAGCACCCCATGTCCAGAAGTGGGAGTTTCCAAGGATCAAGAAGAGCAGCAGTGGTAGGGTCAGTGGGGGTTGGGGGCTGCGCGCAGCTCCGGAGTCCGAGCCGCCTGACTGGGGCTCCTGCTCTTGGTGTCCAGGACAGCTGGGGAAAGCACGCCGCTTCCTGGGGGGCAGAGCTGCGTCAGGCCACCGGGGGCACACACCCTCCAAAGAAAGGGGATATTCTCCACCAGCCGTCCGCGCTACCCTGTGCCCTACTGGGGGTGCCTCCCACCTCCTCACAAGCGTGAACCTCAGAGGTACAGAAGTGGCCCTGTTCATGGGGAACAAGTGGGCACGAGGCCCTCCTGTGCCTCGGACCCAGGAACAGGCACGGGTGGGGCTCCCTTCCACCCCCCACACTCCTCACCCCCACACACAAGGTGCCCGCACCTGGCTTGCGGTGACAACACACCTCGTCCCAGGTGTAGTCAGCAGGATTCACGGGCTGCATGACCCACGGGTCATCCTGCAGCTTCTCCAGGGTGGTGCGCTGCTCGGGCTGTGGCTGCAGCAGGCCTGACACCACGTTCATGAGCTCTGGGGACAGACACACGTGGACCCGATGTGGGAAAGCTGTGCCCCGCCATGGTGACTCTCTGGGGCTCAGGCAGGTCCCCCAGGAGGGAGCCCAAACCAAGAAGCACGTCAGGCTTCTGAGGAGCCTGGACGCCAGCCCTGTGCCCCGAATCCTTTTGGGGCAACCCTGATGCTGAAAGGCGATCAGGACTAGATGTGACACTGGGCTCCCAGTCTGGACCTTGTGAGAAAGCCGAGAGCACCCCACCCTCCCTGCTGACACACACCTCTGGGGCAGAGAAGCATCTCGTTCATCCCCAGTTGCAGGCTTTGGGGACAGCTCCAAGCCAGACTTGCCCCCTCACAGCCCTACCCACTGTGTCACCCAGCAGGCCTGCACCAGGTCCCTGGGGTCCCCAAACTAAGCCAAGCCTTTCCCACCCTACCAGGCCAGCTCTTGGAGACAAGGGGACAGAGTTGCTGTCAGAGAATGACAGAAACCCTAGACTTCCTAGTGAGCCCCTGGAGGATGACTGGAGCCAGACTCGGGGAGCTTGTGGGCCAAAGGAACACCCAGAAAACTAGGGCCCCCAAAGCACTCACCTTCCCAACACTCTTAACGTTCATGCCACAGTGCAGACGGAGAAAGAAAATGGGGGCACTGAGGGGCTCACCTACTGACACAACATATGGAGGGTTCAGCACCGCTTCCACAGTCTCCTCCAGCTCACAGAAAGGGTTCTCCTCAAAGATCAGCGTGTACAGTGTGACGCCCAGTGTCCACATCTCCAGCTCGGGTCCCCTGTAACTGCCGGGAGGTGGGGACTGTCACCGAGCAAGCCAGTGAGACTCCCCATAACTGTCCAGACATCCCACGAGGTCTGGTCACACTGGGGTGCCAGAAGAAGAGGAAAGCCTGGCACCCAGGCAGCCAGAGACACAGGCAGCTCAGGGCCATAGCAGTGATGGGGGTGCAGCCAGCTCAAGAGGGTAGAGCAGAGGCTTGGAAGGGGTGTCTGAGGAGGGGGAGGCAGAGAACAGAGCAGGGCTTGAGGGGCTGGAGCCTTGGGCAATTCAGAGCTTTGAGGGTGAGGGAGAGTGAAGCTACGCCAGTCAGCACTGGAAGAGGCAAGGGTGGGGAGAGCACCTGCAAAGGGGGAGCAGGCCACGTGTAGAGATGCGGGAGCAGATCACGCGCGGGGGGCGGGAGTAGGGAACAGGCCAGATGCAGGGGGAGATGCAGAGGGAGCAGGTAAGTGCAGGGGGAGATGCAGGGGGAAGCCAGTAGGCCACCACCAGGCCCACTGGCCAGGTACCGCCCTCACAGCAGATGGGAGCAGCATGTTAGCTAGTGGGGCAGCCCAGTGTGAGAGACCCATAGTCATGCATCCAGGTTGCAGGGGCTGGGGACAACCACGACAGAAAACAGCCCAGGTGGGTGGGACTGCGCTAGAGGAGCAGATGCCATGGCCCTCCTGGGAACTCGTGGCAGCCCCACTCCTGGCAGCCAAGCTCTGGGCGAGCAAGAAGGGAGCAGAGGCTCCCCTGAGCCATCTGGAAGCCCCTGCACATGGGGGCAGCAGAGCCACTGCAACCCCTGGGGGGCCCCCAGCCAGGTCCAAGTGCCCTTCGAAGGCACACAGAGCAGGCAGGGGTCACAGGACAGAGCTCGCCACCGCCCTCTGCCTGCTTTCCCCCAGAGGTCAACTCTGACAGAGGAACCCGCGTGATCTGGACCTGGACATCCTGGCCGCAGGCATGGAAGGCACAGCAGCTGGGCCAAGAGTGGTCCCACACAGCCCCCACAGCTGGCAGCCCCTGGCACCTGGGCCTGGAAGTGGGCAGAGGGCCCTGTGCAGCAGCGTCCCTCCAGAGAGGGACACACTGGGACCCCAGATGGAAGCGCCGGCACGCTCCATCCCCAGTGGCGGCTCCGCAGCAGCAG